CCGGCGCGAGCAAGCACGTGCCATGGAACACGCAGAATTTGACGTACATCTTCCTGACATACTTGGAGAGGATGAGGAAGAACACCCGTGGGCGCACCTGGGCATGGACGAGTCCGATCACGACCAGCCGAGCCTACCTCTTGCGCCAACACCACCACCTTCGCCAGGAGTCTCCCGACGCTTGCATGGCAAGAACCTGCTGCCACGCCGAGCGCAACCTCACCAGCGAGAAGCACTACGATTGCTGCGCCTCCGAGCCGTCCGAGCCCGAGCAGTAGTTCCAATAGTGAGCTTGCCCTGGGCCAAGCAACTACCAACCCTACCAACTGGTCTCCCAAGCTGGCTTTCCTTCGATACCATTGGAAACCCGTTGCGCCAAGCCTTGCCGACTGGAAGTTCGCCCCGAACCGGCCCGAATCGATTACACTGGCAATGTGGTACTTCCAGCAGTCGCTCTTTCCAGCGGTGGTGCGGTACTTCGCGCAGCTACAATGGGAAGCGGATGACACTGTTCCAGCTCCTTTGTCTGTGACATGGGTGGATTTTGCTATGGATTCCACCATAGTTACTGGTCTCCCTTTGGTGACTCCCCAGGAGAGTGCTAGCGACGCAAAGATTGCCAGACTGGCACGCCACTTCTCTACGGTGGCTGCGCGGATGGCAGAATTATGCAAGTGTGACTTGGCACCTCGACCTACCCATGTGGAACTTAGCGCCCTCGCCCCGTTGGGGCTACGGCTCGCGCCTGGCTTCAAATGCAGATCTACGTTTGCGGGGCACAACCGCGCCACGCGGGTCCTGCATGCCCTGGCCCTGGCCACCGCAGATCGCAGGGGTCGCCTCGACGTTGTTCCTGACTGGCGTTCGCCGCCCAAACCTATTTGGACTGCGCCGCCACGCAAGGGAGATATTAGCAAGTCAGTGAGAGATAGTGATTTATCGAGACGTGCCATGGAATCAGTGGCTGGCCTGGCGGAGAAGGGCACCCGCACCAATCAAGTTGTACATGTTCAGGAACTTCGCAGTGCGACCGGGTGGACCCCTGAGGAGACGCGTGAGTTCGATGGCCTCGTCGGCCGCGCCCTCATCGACGAGCAGCAGTGCCTCCTTCACCACAGAGAAGCCCGACAACAAGGATATCATATTTTGGGCCCTCTCACTGGAGGGAGCTAGACAAGACCAAGCACCTCATGTGTTTTGCATCATTTGCAAGAAGAGGATGGAAGGTATTCAGCGCTTCAGTCAATGGCCGCAGCTATTGGCCCCAAAACGGCCCCCAAGAGGCCCCCAAACGGCCCGAACCGCGACATCCCAGCGAACATCCTAGAGGCCTATTACCCACAAATGCAGCCCAGCAAGACACATGCCACAAAACCGTTGCGAAGGCATGCGTCGTGGGCGCCATGCCTGGGATCAAGCCGCCTAGAACCAGTGTCAACATGGCTGACTGCACATCTTTGTAATCCCCGTTCTCGCGCACATGGTCCATACGTCCACATTGGCACACGTCCGTTGTGGCTTGATTTGCGTACAGAAAAGGTCAGCATCAGCCCGTAGAACAGCCTGATCATATAATTGTGTGTGACAAGATAGCACGATTTATACCTCCCATCCAGTACACACAAAGAGCACGTATGGCTCACAGTAACGGAATAGTGGTCGGTTGGGCAGGGGCTATGAACGCGGGGGCCAAGGGCCCGGCCTGCACCCATTACCCCTGCCGCCACCAGGCGGCCTATAGCCGAAGCCGCCTGGAACAGGCTTAGTGTAGCCCACCAGTAGGCCAATCCACACGCAACATCGTCGAAGTAAACATTCACGGCGAACTCGGTGGACAGCCAGCCCGCGACACGGAACATGGGGTCGAGGCCGTCGCTCAGGGAGTTCGCGTAAGTGTGGAAGCCGGATAACAAACAAACGCATGCCAGCATACGCAAGACATTGCGCGATGGTTCCAGCAAAGCCTCACCTCCCCCCACCCCGCGCGCTGGTGTCCCCCGCCTCCCGTGGAAGGTGCCCAGGGAGTGGGAAGGGCTGAGCGGCGACTTGAACCAGGCGAACCTGGATTTTGCAGAGGGGAATACATGATGGGATTACCTTCCGCTACAAATGGCGGCCGTGAACAGATACCATACAGGCGAGTTTCAGGTTCGCGTGCGTCGGACGCCCGCGGTCGGGTTGAAATGTGTCGCCCGGTTGCGGTTGCGGTTGCGCGCCCGCGGGAGGGTTGAAATGTGTCGCCCAGGTGCGGTTGCGGTTGCGCGTCCGCGGGCGGGTTGAAATGTGTCGCCTAGTTGCGGTTGCGCGCCCGCGGGCGGGTTGAAGTGTGTCGCCCAGGTGCGGCTGCGAGTGCGCACCCGCGGGCGGGTTGAAATGTGTCGCCCAGGTGCGGTTGCCGTTGCGCGCCCGCGGGCGGGTTGAAATGTGTCGCCCAGGTGCGGTTGCTCGCCCGCGGGCGGGTTGAAATGTGTCGCCCGGTTGCGGTTGCGCGCCCGCGGGCGGGTTGAAGTGTGTTGCCCAGGTGCGGTTGCGGATGCCCGCGGGCGGATCGAAATGTGGCGCCCAGTTGCGGTTGCGGTTGCCCGCCCGCGGGCGGTTTCAAATGTGTCGCCCAGGTGCGCTTGCGCGCCCGCGGGCGGGTTGGAATGTGTCGCCCAGGTGCGGTTGCCGTTGCGCGCCCGCGGGCGGGTTGAAATGTGTCGCCCACTTGCAGTTGCGGTTGCGCGCCCGCGGGCGGGTTGGAATGTGCCGCCCAGGTGCGGTTGCGCGCCCGCGGGCGGTTTGAAGTGTGTTGTTCAGGGGGCCTTCCTGACGTTCAGTCAGCCAATCACGGAATGTCACCCGGCTCTGCCGGGAAACGCATCCTCAAGCGCACAGTCAAGCCGCAGAAATGCGGACCGCTTTGGGCTCAGGACGGGTTCCGCCGTTCCTCAGAGCTGTGTCGGGGAGCCGATCTGAAGCCGCCGTGGCCAGAAGGACCCCTTCGTTCCTTACTCGGCATTCCTTCGTGTAGCCTGATGACGGTAAGCTTCTGGAGGCCCGCGCGGATTTTTTTGGATCGGCGCTGGATCCCTTTGGCGGCGCCTCCGTTGCCCCCCCTGGCTCGCTCCGCGCGCCGGGGGAGAGGGTCCATCGCAGATCCGAGGAATCCGGGCGGACTTCCGAGAGTGGTCGACCGACGTAAAAGGGTCAGGGCGAGGATCTCGATGCCTTCGCCTTTCCGTCTGGCCAACGTACCGACTACGGTCGGGCATAGCCAGGACCCCGGGTAAGGGGACCCGGTTAGGGGTAGGGCCTTGGGGCCCCTCAATTGGCCAGACTCACTGAACCAGGTTTGCCGCAACTGGTGTTTTTCGGGTGACGGCAGTTCCGGTTAGTAGAAATGGTGCGGGGGGGCGCCCCCGGTACAAGTCACTAAACCAGGTTCCATTCAACCCAGTTCTGCCAACGCCCGATATGGGTGGGGGGGGTGGCCTCCTCTTCCTCCTCCTCCTCCTCCTCCTTCCTCCTCCTCCTCCCTCCCTCCCTCCCTCCCTCCCTCCCTCCCTCCCTCCCTCCCTCCCTCCCTCCCTCCTCCTCCTCCTCCTCCTCCTCCTCCTCCTCCTCCTCCTCCTCCTCCTCCTCTTTGTTCATGAGTGTGCGCAGGAGGCCTCAGACCCTGGAGGAGGCTTCCTCTGATGAGGGCGGCGGTGAGATCCATGGCCAGGCCGCACTGGGTGTCTCACCGGCTGTCAGGCCCTGGGCTCCTGATCCAGAGGTCGGGGGCGGAAAAGAGGGGGGTGATGACTAGGGGGGGGTGGATATCATGGCGGGGGCCATGATATTTCCGCAGATTTTATGGCGCCTCTTCTTATTTCATTACGTCCCTGGCCCCCCCGCTGGGCCGCGCGCATGCCGCCGGTCATGATTGGCACCCCCCCCTCTTGGACACCCCCCTCTTGGCCGCTCCCGAAGAGGATCCGTGCCCAAGGCCCTCACCGTCGCCGCTCGCCGAGCTCTAGAGTTTTGCTCGCCGACCTGAGAGGCTCTAGGCCTCCTAGATGGGGTCGGAGCAGATGGGGTCGGAGGATCGCGCCGCATCGCCGATGCATCGGCGATGCGGCTCGATGTGGAGCCCGATTCTCTTTGCGCTGGCGTCGACGATGTACCGCCGACATCGCCGATGCATCGCCGGTGCATCGCCGATGCATCGCCGATGCATCGCCGATGCATCGCCGATGTATCGGCGATGCGGTGCAATCCTCCGACCCCATCTACTCCGGCCCCATCTAGGAGGCCTCTAGAGGCGCAAGCACCGTCGGGGTCACCGCGGGTCCTGAGGCACGCGCCCCCGCTGCCGATCGTCCCCCATGCCTGGGTGCGCCAGAGGGTCTGGGAGTGCGCCGCGCGCGGCTCGGGCAGGGGGCGCGGGGGGGGGGGCGGCTCGAGCCGGGCGGGGCGCAGGAGTCGACGGAGGAGGAGGATCAAAGGAGCAGGAATCGGGGCGATCGAAAGGCGTGCGGAAAGAGGGGGCACGATGCCCAGCAGCAGTTCTTGTCCATTTTGGAGAGGGCCCGCTGTCCGCGCCGCCGCGGACGTGGAGCTATGAAGGCAAGAACGGCCTGTCCCACTGCGGTCGGTGTCTGGTGTCGGACAACATCTGGTGTTATGCTATGTAGCCATTATCTCGGTACCCATGTTTGGCGTCCAAAAAGAAGGAATGATGATGCGTTCCAAGATCCTTCCCAGATGCCCAGGGTGCTTGTTGTTCCGCACGGGATCCAGAAATGAGGACCGCCTGATACTCTGGAAATCTTGGAACGCATCTTGAGCCAATCCTACTATGACATCATTCTCGCCCTAGAGAAGGGAGTTAAGTCGGCCAATAATGGTGAGGAGGCTGGTAATGTTCGCTTGGGGCGAGACAAAGATAATGGTCATGATGATGGGCAGCACAGAAGGAGTAGTCGCATCTGTATCAGGAGGCAGGGCTTCTCGTTCGCCGTTGTGTTGCTGTCCAGGCGGAGGCAGCCGCGATGACGCAGGAGGCCACTGAGGCTGTGGAGTCTGTGGCTGCCGAGGTGGAGAAGGCAGCAGTGGCGGCGGAGGAGACGGCCATCGTGTCATTGTGCCCGATCCGTTACTAGTGTTGTTCTCTTTTATTGGGCATTGTTGGGCGACGGACCGCCACTGTGGCCGCGTCGACCCTGTCGGTCTGTCAGCATTATGCTCGGGATGGGCCAGCGACGAAGCGCAGGAACACGGTACGAAGATAGAGGCGGCGGCGGAGAAGGAGGGATCAGGAATTGGAGGAGGGCAGCTGCTGGAGGAGGGGACAGCCACGAAACGTGTGAGGGGTATGCTGAAACGGGTGATGATTATGAGGAGGAGGAGGAGGAGGAGGAGGAGGAGAAGGAGAAGAGGAGGAGGGAGCGGGCAGCGGGAGAAAGAACGTGGGGCGTTGTCTTTTTCCAAAACGAGGACCCAGCAACACAGGATGGTTGGGGAAACAACGCCTGTGCATCTGTGCATTCCATTGGAGACAATTTTTATGTTTAGAGTTGGGAAAGGGGTCCTTATGGAAAAAGGAGCGCTTCTGGAATCTACGAGTCCTCGAGGAGGAGGAGGAGGAAGAGGAGGAGGAGAGGGTGCCGTGCCTTTGGATCGGGACGCGCACAGAAACAGGGGCAGCGTCCGCTTCAAGGCCTTCGCTTGAGGCGTAAGGCGCTGTGGAGGCAGTGCAGTGGGAGGCGCTGTGGAATGGGGGCGCTGTGGCATGGCACTGTGCCGCTTCTTCTCCCTGTCCTGCGCACGCAGGTGCTGTGGTGAACACCAGCGCTGTGTCGCACGCGGATGTTGTGGTGCACGCAGGCGCTGTGGCGTGCACAGGCGCTGCGATGCACGCAAGCGCGATTGTGTACACAGGCGTTGTGTTGCAGACGGCTGCTGTGGTGCACACAGGCGCCGCGGTGTACACCGGCGCTGTGGTGCGTGCGGGCACCGTGGTGCACGCAGGCGCTGCGTCGCACACGGCTGTTGCGGTGCACGCAGGCGCTGCGGTGTGCACGCGCGCCGTGGTGCACGCGCGCCGTGGTGCACGCGGGCACTGTGTTGTGCACAGGCGCCGCAATGCAGACCGCCACCTGCACGCTGCTTAGACGTGGCCTCGGCCAGCCCGGGGCATGCCCCGACGCCACTGGCGCAGCACGCGGCGCCACCGAGGGGGAGTCGGGCGGGCGAGGGCCCGGTATCGTGGACAGTTTCAAACACAGACTGCAGGCTTTGGGGGGGAAGTGTATTGGGAGCGGTTCGCCGTCTTCGTCTTCCCCAGGCTCCAGGGCCCGACCCGGGATGCACACCCGGGAGGAGGCTCTCCCGCCCCCCTTGTGCTGGGGGGGAGGCCCCAGGGCCCAGAAGCCGGTTGCCTCGCGTGCCTGCTTGCCGTGCCGACGGGAAGGCATGTCGCTTCCCGGCAGGTCTCTGGGGGAGGCGGGGGCGCTTTCGAGCGCCGCCCCGTGCCGTCGTCGAGGGCCGCCCCCCTCGCCCCCCTCCCCTCCCTGCGCGCCTGCGGCCCCCTTTGCGTGGTGAGACCGCGGGCCCCCGCGCCTCGTTCGACGACGCTCCGTGCGCGGCAGCTCCCCGCCGCGCTGGTGGGCGTGTCTGTTGGCTGCAGCAGGCTCGTGCCGCGTCGGCACGGCGGCGAAAAGGCGGTGCGGGCGCTCAAGGTTGAATCGGGGGCCACATGCGAGCCCTACCCCTACCCCCCACGACTTCTGAGGGGGAGGGTGGGGTTCACTTCGTTCGGGAGCTCCCGAGCGAAGTGAGCCCCACCCTCCCCCTCAGAAATCGTGGGGGGTAGGGGTAGGGCTCGCATGTGGCCCCCTATTGAAGGCCACCAGAGGTCCAACTGGACCAGCCTGGAACGATTTCCCTTGTCGGATGGCGGAGGTTGCTGAAGATGGAGCACGTTCTGTACTGTCAGAAACAAGCGTCCACGCCGACAGGACAGGAACCCTCCGTTACGGGCCGTCGCCGTTGAAGCGCTTTGATGAACAAAATTTGCAAATAGTGAGAATTGGGGTTTTCCGTCATATCATCATCGCATGTGGCCCAGACAGTTCCAGTCGATCATTTGAGGCAGCCGTCCAAATTATTTTTCGTCTTCCTCGTCTCCTCCCCCATGCCCCTGGACAAACCACCAGGGCCTCACAGGGGCTGTGTACATGTTACCGTCCTTCTCTTCCATCCCTCCCCCCCACACTTAGACCCTCCTTCTGCCCTCAACCGACTCCGTTCTCCTCGTCCTCATCCCCCTTTCCCCGATAACGCCGCAGGTTTTTTTTTGTTTGGCGCCTCTCGAAAATCTGAAAACCGCTGACTTCACGACTTCCCCAAAACCCCTCTTCCCCCCCCTCCTGCCCCCAATCCTCCCACGGGCCGTTCCCTAGGTCTGGGTCGGGGAACCTATCCGTAGCCGAGGCTCGCCGTGGCCAGAAACGCCCATTCGTCCCATATCTTGCGTCCAATATATGATCCCACGATGACTCTACGTGCCCTCCGGGCTGGGTGGCACTCGCAACTGGGTGGACCTGCCCTTGGGCCCCCCTTGCACCACGCAGTCCAAATACTCCAGATTTCGTAATAAAGGGAGGGGGGTCTCATTTCGGGGGGGGGGTCTCTTCCAGGCTATCTTGGAGGGCCTGGGGGGTCTGGGGACGCTGTTTTGGAGGGCTCTCCCATGGGGGAGGTTTGAAATGGCTTGTCTTGGAGGGTCCAGACCCCCTCCCTTGGGTTACGAAATCTGGAGTACATGTTTCTCGGCGAGGACCATGCTGGACCATCTAGCAAAACAAACACGCACGACACCGACAAAGGCACTGGAAATGGACGTCCGAGCGATGGCGAGGACAAAACAAACACACGCACGAAAAACCGAAAAGTGCACTGGAAAAATGGACGTCCGAGCGATGGCGAGAGGTGCGTCGGCGGGGGTACGCTCACTGCACCCGGGCAGCATCCACCTGCGCATCAGAGGCAAGCTGGGACGTTGGAAGCTTCCACGGACTCTTGGGCGGCCAACGCCTCGGGTGCGTGCAGACAGATTGCTCCGGCATGTCCGGGCGCCTGGGCGCCCGGTGCCGCCCCGAGTCACCGCCGCCGTCTTCCGTACTGCTTGGAACGGGTGGTGCACCGCTCGACGTTTTCGGTGCCGTGATGGACCATGTGCGCAGGATTTCTGCGTTTTCGGGTGTGATTGCGGGCGCGACAGCATCGAGCATTACTCGCGGTGCGTCGTGGTGGGGGGCTCAGCAGCGCTTTGAACACTGTCCGTGACTGGTGCTTGCCACTTTGGATCGGCATCGACGACGCCCAGCGCGAGGAGACCACGGTGGTTCTTGGAGCGCTCGGCGCGTAGGCCGCTGACAGGGCCACCCACGCGGCGCGCTGCGCGGGGGGCCTCCCGGCCCCTGGAGGCACGCGGGCTCTCCAGCGAGGTCTGCGCGATGCCGTCGTGGGCCTCGCGCCGAAGGGGCGGCTTCTCGCGAGCAGCTGGCGGCGCGCGGCCGCGGCAGGCAGGCGAGGCTCGGAGCGCGGCGACGGTTCGCCTGCAGCAGCAAGCGGCTGTCAGCAGTTGCCCCTGCACCTCTTTCCTCGTCTCCCCCACTCCCCCTTGGTTCCGCCGTGGTGCGCGCCAGCCGGCTGCCTGGAGCCAGCCTCTCCGCGATAGTCGCGCTGTGTGGGCGCATTTGCTTCCAGTGTGTCGCCTCGCTTCGTGTTGGCGTTTTTGTTGCTAGCGTGCTGCATCGCACTGTGTAGGCGTATTTGCTTCCAGCGTGTTGCATCGCATCGTTTGGCATCTCAACGCCTGCCCTCGAGCGAACAACCGCCCGAAATTCCTCCCCGTGTGCGATTCTGTTGAGTCTGCCTGCGATGAACATTTCAATGGCAGCAATCCCCCTGGCTCGAAGTGTTCTGGCCGCCAGTGGGCTTCATAAGCACTTGGCAATTTCTTCCTGTGGTAAGGGCCAGCAGCAGGGCCAGTGGTGCAGCCGAGTCGCTCGTCGAGAGCGGCCCCTTTCCCCTCCCTCCTCCGTCCTCTTCCGCCTCCTCCTCCTCCTCCTCCCTCTCTCTCTCCCTTCCTGCTTGTCTCCACCGTCGTCCAGTTTTTTCGGGCGTGGCCCGAGGGTCTGCGATGCAGACGAGGCGTTCGTCGTGGGCGGTGTCGCTGCACTTCGACGCGATGTGGTGCGAGTTGTCGTGTCCCCTCTGTCTTTGCCGCGTGGCCGATGAACCCCGGGGGCGCGCTGAATCCGGCAGCCGTTTCAGGCTTCGCGCTGCCATTCCCCCTCGTCTTTTTCCTCCCGTTCTTGCATCCTGGAGGCGGAGCGCCGGCTATCCCTGCTGGGGTGGGCCGGTTCTCCGCCTCCTATGCCTGTCTCGTCTTCGCTCTCCCCCGAATGCTGGAGCTCCACTTCAGGGCAATTCGTCCGTCGGAAATGCTGTCAGCGCAGTCTTTGCTGGACCGAGCGTCCTCATAAACCCTGGGCGCTTTCTTTTTTCGTCCTCGCCTTTCCTCTCCTCCCCCTCCGTCCTCTGCGGAGTGCGATGCTGGCGATACCACGCCGCAGTGGTTTGCACGATGTCGTGCATGATGTGTTTGTTTTGCCTCCCAAGGTCGCGCTGCATTGAGGGAGCGTTGTTCTCCTGATTGTGCGCGCCACTTGCTCGCGGGAGGAGGAGGAGGAAGAGGAGGAGGAGGAGGAGGAGGAGGAGGAGGAGGAGGAGGGGGACTGTTTCTGCGCGGGCGGCGCGGGCGTCCCGCCAAAAGTTTTCTTGCTAGGCACTGTGCCCCGCCCTGCCCCTGGAAATGTTGCGGCTTGGCCCCCCGGCGGGCTCGAGCTGCTGCCCCCCCATCGTGCCGACGCAGTTCCTCCCTCCCCCCGCTTTCTCGTTTCTTCTTTCCTCGCTGCTCGCTTCTCCCCCCTCCTCTTGTCCCGTCTAGTTATAATCGGCAGTGCCAGTTCATCGATGGTCATTCGGCGCCACCATCGGTCTCGTTTCAATGGAGAACAGATCCAAAGATGCAGTCCATGCTCCCTCCTTCCGCCGAGTTTCATCGTCCCCGTACTTCGCCCCCCCCCCCCCCCCCCCCAGCGCATCCGCCTAGAGCGGAGGCGAAAGAGCGGCGGCGCGACCACCGCATTGTTCCTTGGAAGGTTATTGCCATTTTGTGGACTGAGGATCGCTAAGCCGCTTTTCTCCCAGATCCTTTATGCGCTTGTGCGCGCATTCCATTCTCATGATCTGCACGGACGCACACACCCACTCACTCACTCACTCACTCACTCACTCACTCACTCACTCACTCACTCACTCACTCACTCACTCACTCATTCACACACACAAACACACACACACACGACCGAGCGTCATCAGCCTACGTCCGACCGACCTTGTCCTTCCCCCTCCGGCCTTCTGCGCAGGAGGCCGCCAAGAGCAAGGGTAAGGGCCCTGACGACGCGCTGGCCGCCCTGGAGCAGTCGGAGAAGGACGTCGAGGCACGCCCCCTGGAGGGGCAGCAGGAGGTAGCGGAGGCGGGCGTTCCTCCACCGCAGAGATCTGACGAGATGTTACATGGTCGCTCTTTATTGTGTGTATTGTTTCGCCGATCGGCGCGGACCAGTTGTCGCCTGCTTTGGGCGGCTGCTTTTGGCGCCTGGTCAAGACCCCTCACCCCAGTCTGGTTGCGCGACTGGTCAAAGCAAACCGACTGAGCACTGGCCCGGACCCAGACCCCCCTCCACCCCACCCTTCGGCCAATTGGCGAAACCCAGAATACATGAAGGCCTCCCTGGACGTTTTGGCCTCCGCGGCCCAGTTTCGGACCCTGGGGCGCAGAACTACTCCCGGGGAAAGGGGCCAGGAGTTCTGGGACCGCGGATTGAAAGTAGCTTATAAGGAGGTCTAGGTCTGCTGATGCTGCTCCTCCTCCTCATCCCTCCTCCTCGTCGCCCGCGCCTGGGCAGGGTCCCCACCTCGATCCGATCGAGCCGCTTCGGCATCGAGTTCGGGGCCGACCAGGCCCGGCTCGATTCCGATGCTCCGACGACCTGATGCGCGCCGATGCTCGCACGGCGCCGTTGTACACCCTGCCGCGGCCGATGCCGCTCCCACCCCGTGCCGGCGCGGCCCAGTGCGAGGCGATGCTCGCACGACGCCGTTGTACACCCTGCCGCGGCCGATGCCGCTCCCACCCCGTGCCGGCGCGGCCGAGTGCGAGGATTGCGCGGAGCCGACTCGTCCTCTTCGACGCCGGCCGCTCCTGCCTGGGCAGGCGCGCCGCAGGCTCGGGCGGCGAGCGGGGCCGGTCGCCGAGTAGGCGGCGGCCGCGCGGGCGGGCAGGCCGCTGCTGGCCGCCACGAGCGTCCCCCGACGGGGTCGGCGGTCCGCTGCGGGAGCCCTTGTGGTCGCGAAGGTGGAGGAGGAGGGGGGTAGGAGATTGGAGTAAGGGGTGGGGAGGAGGTGGAGGAGGAGGAGGAGGAGGAGGAGGAGAGGAGGAGGAGGAGGGGGAAGGGGAGGGGGAGGAGGAGGCGGTGTGGGAGGAGGAGGAGGAGGAGGAGGAGGAGGAGGAGGTGTGGGAGGAGGAGGAGGGATTATTTTGACGCTTCTTTGTTCCTTCGTGGCCTTCCGGGGGGGAGCATCGTGGACATGGCTGGGCGAGGCGCGGACCACTGGCTGGGATCATGCGCAGGAGGGGTCCAGAGGACTGACCTCGAGCGACGTCTTAAGAGAGAGAGAGAGGAGATGGGAAGTTGGCTTCCGGCCCGGATCCTGTCCCCGAGAGGTCTCCCCGGTGGTCCCCGAGAGGTCCCCGCAGGCCTGCGGCAGCGCGGGCCCTCGCCGAGGAGCCCCTCCAATGACGCACGGGGATCTCCTCCGAGCACGCCCAAGAGGCGTCCCACCTCGCCAGGGCTCATATCGATTCCTCCGACTCGATTGGATTCGATTTCGATCGATTCCGATTCCGATTCGATCCGACTTGGGATCCCAATTTGGATTCCGATTTCTCAGTCGAGGCCTAATTTCTACATAGCCTGCCGATTTGCGCCGGTTCGATTTCTCCCCGGTTGCCGATTTCTGCTGATCCGATTCATTTTTGATCGCCGATCCGACTTATCGATTTGTTTCTGGATTCTCTTGCAAGAGACGTCCCACCTCGTTCGAGGATTCGTGACGATCGGCAGGATGACAGCTACGCCAACAAAGGCAGCTGCATCACCCCAAAGAAGCAGCGTCCCTCATCCCTCCTCGACCCTGTAGGGTCGAGGGCCAAAGAGCTCAGCAGGAGGACGTGGAGGGCATGATCTGCATCCTCTCGAGGTCCGGCGGCAGGTGCGCATGTCGACAGCGTCCTCGGACGTTGCTCGAGGGCCCCGGCTTCTCGCTCCATCTCGGAGCCCCTGGGGCCCAACGGGCCTCGTGCGGGGTGTTCTGGAGGCAGTTGGGGCCTCCTTCCGCTTGGCATCGCGCGGACGTGTGCATTTTTTCCTTCGGCGAGGACCATCGAAGAGCATCATTGATCATTTGGCGAAAAAAGCACGCACGAAACCGACAAAAACACAGGGAATGAACGTCCGAGCGAAGCCCAGTTCCGAGGACGACACGACAGCATAAACATAAACATTCGAAGGGCCGCGCGGATATCTCGGATCTGCGCTGGAACCCCCTGGTGACGCCTCCGTCACCGCTCCAAGAACGTCGCGCGGACCTCCGAAAGTTTGCGGTCATGCCGCTTGTTCTTGTTCCATCCTCGCTGGACGGCAAGTGACGGGGTGAGACCTGAACGAGGCTCAGCCAGAGCATCGCACCCTGCAGGGTCTCGCAGAGCCGGAGTTGGGACAAGCCCAGTAGTCTGAGAGCCCTGCGCGGCCCCTGCGATGGCCCTACACGTCCTTGGCCGAGCCGGGCGTGTGAAGTTCCGAGCCCCCCGCGGAGAGTGCCGCGCAGGCGGTTCCCGGTGGGGCCGGGCTTTCTGCGCTGGGCTGCGGTCGGGGAGCTGTGCCGAGCCTGTCGCTCTGCGGGCCTTGGGGCCAGCATGCAATCGGGCCCGCCCCTCTGCAGGGGGCACGCTCAAGAACAGTTGCAAACATAGTCTGGGGACTGCTTTTTGAGTTTTTTTGGGGGGGGCGTGTGAGCCTTGTCTGCGTCTTCTTCCTTTTTCGTCCAAGCTCCCCTTTGTAGGGGGAGGGCCCGAACCTTAGCTGCCTCGATACGCCCGTTCTGATACGCAACACGCACCGTGCTCAAAACGGACGTGTCGATACGTTGCGTGCTGGCGCAACGTATGGGCCCGCGTTTTGGCCAGTGCGTCGCGTCGGACCTACGTGTCCAGTCTGCGTGCTGAGCTCCGCATCCGTACGAGACGTGCTGCGTGTTGCGCATCGGGGCAGCCAAGGCCCGCACGAAGTCCAGCACGCCTCGGCGCGACACGCTGCCCGGGGCCCTGCCCGCAGTTTCCAGCGCCCCCCGAGCCTCTCCAGCGCACCCCGCCCCGCGGAGCCGAGCGGCACGCCGCCCGCCCTCCTTCGGGGCGGCCGCCGCGCGCAGCCGGCGGGCCGCCGCGGCGGGCGCCCTGGAGGGCCGACTCGCAGGCCGCTTCCCTGCCGGAGCCAGGGCGATGCCCTCGTGTCCTGTGCTTCGCGCGGCCCGGCTCCCATATGCGAGCGAAGGGAACTGATGCACACGCACCGATCCTGGCAAGGCCCACTCCGGACCCAGGATCGGTGCATGCACCTGCCCAGCCAAGGTAGGAGGGCGTGTGCACCGAGCCTGGGCTCAGGGGGGGCCCGGCCAGAATCGGTGTATGTGCATAGTTTTCTTTCCTCTATTATGTGCGGCGTGGCCCTCGGGAGGGTCTCGTGCCCCCTCGCGTGTCCTCTCTCCTCCTCCTCCTCCTCCTCCTCCTCCTCCTCCTCCTCTCTCCTCCTCCTCCCCTCCTCCTCCTCCTCCTCCTCCTCCTCCTCCTCCTCCTCCTCCTCCTCCTCCTCCTCCTCTCCTCCTCCTCCTACTCCTTCCAGTCAGCCCGAGGGCACGAAAAGAGCAGGAGGGCGCTCGCGCACGAAAAGCACGCTCGCGCACGAAAAGAGCGGGAGGGCGCGCGGCGCTCGCCAGGCCGCGCTCGCCTCCCTGGTCGGCGTGCAGCAGCGGCTGGCGAAGATGTCGGGGCAGGTCGCGAGCTCCACGTCGGCTCCCCGCCATCCGCTGGCAGCCCCGTGTCCGCAGGATTGGTATCGCTCGGACGTGTGCACTTTTTCTCGGCGGGGATTCTTAAGGAGCGTCCGGGGTCATCCTGCGAAAAAAACAACGCACGAAACCGAAACAAAAACATTGGGAATGGACGTCCGAGCGACGGGGAGGGAGGGATCGCCGCGAGGGGAAGCGGGTACTGAGGGAGACGGGTCCCGAGGTCCTTCGCCATTTGCGGGTTCGCGGGGTCCTCCACGGACCCGGGGGCTGCCAGGGAACGGTTCAGGAGGAAGAGCTCGTTCCAGAGGGGGAGGCCCATAGGTATGGGTCCAGGACCCATTTCCCTCAGGACCCGTTTCCCCCATGCCAAGAAGAGGCGACACCACCACCAAGACCAGGGCGGACCACCTCCAGCGAGGGGGTTCGCGGTGCCTCCCTGAGTCGGGGGCGGGGGGTGTCCCGAGCGAGAGGGGAGGGTGCCACACCACCAGGAGGACCCTCGCAGGCGCGCTGGCGGCGGTGGTGTCGCCTCTCCTCTGAAGGGGCCCTGAGACACACAAATGAATAGGCTCAAATCCCAGGATTCTTAATCGTTCCTCATTTTTGGGGGGTTTTCGTCTTCCCCCCCACTTCCCATATTGCCCCATCCCCTCCTGGGAGTCGACGATGAATTGTCTCTGTGTGTGCTTTCCCCTCCTGATCCTTGTTCCTACGTGTCGGGGCGGAGTCCAGGGCAACGTGGGGGAGAGATTGGCTCATAGGCGCGCTCCCTTGCAGCGGCGCGCAGGGCCTGGACCCCCCCCGTCGTGAGAGCATCACGAGGGGCGGTCTTCTGTTGCTACGAAGGCCTCACGGCCGGCGCCGCCGCCGCCGCCGACGACGACGACGACGGCGACGGCTCAGGCGTTCCCCTGCGGCGGCGCACAGGGCCTCTGTGCACCTCGCGTCGCGGCAAAGATCACGGCGGGAGGGGGCCCTCGCCGGGCCCAGGGGCCTTCGAGAAACGATTCGGGATGACTACTAGCAGTGGCAAAGCGTCCTGGCTCGCCGATCGGCCTACCAAGCAATGTTCGAAGAGCCTTTTGTGGTTTCCACGAAATGTTTTTGGAACAGTTCTGGCTGGGACTGTCTTGTTTCAACACATCGGGCTTACAGTGTGTTCTGAGAAGATTGGTTCGGTGATTAGAACATATTTGGATTCTGAGAACATTTCGTGGTAGGCCTGTAGAAACGCCGGGACGGTCGGTCCCTGCTCAAGGATGACAGGACAGTCCTGGGGAATGGGTCGAGGCATCTGGGGGACGGCATGGAGAACAAAACATGACGTCGAGGGTCTGGGGGGGGGGATCGGCTCGGGAGGACGCGTCGTCCCCGAATCGCCCATTCCTCGCCGATATGGGGCCCGATGGCCCACCCCACCCCGCCCAGGAACGTTTAGTTTCGCTATCAGGGGCCAATTGCCGATTTACCAGCGATGTATCGCCGATTCCAGGTCGATGTCTCCCCCCCCACCCTGGGCTGATCCCTCTACCAATGAACGCGCAGTCTTAAAACAAATGATTAAACAAGCGATGATTCACTAAAGCCAGGAGCGGTTTTATTACATTGCGCCGCCTAATCAAAACAAGACAAACCATCATTTAGTGAACGCAAAAGCCGTTTACTGAATTCAAAAACGGATGTTCTAAATCTGGGACCGCTTTTCTAAATCCCAGATCCTATCACTACCATGACCGGAGTGGCTGGATCACCAGACCTCCGCCGATAAGAGTTGTGTAGGTCACGCCCAGGGTCGCAGAGATAATTGCGCATCGTGGTTTTGGTTTGATAGGTGCCCTCCTCTAAGGCGGCGGCGCGAAGGCGCGCAGATGACCGCGCATCGCGTGGCGCAATGCGCGAAGTAGGTGGCGATAACCGTGGTGTCCCTTTTCGGTTCGGCTTTCTGCCGACCTCTTTCGGGCCCCTGGGGCCACCACACTCGGATCCGGGACGACGCCGGGGAGGCGCGATGCGAGAGGGCCCTGAGATGCCAAGGGGCCCCGAGCTTCGGCGTGTCCTGTCCTGCCTTTCGGGGCAGCTTCCTGACCCCGGGCCCGTCGAGGCAGTGGCCATGGACGACGACGGGGAGCCGCGCTGCGAAGGGGCCCCGAGCTTCGGCGTGTCCTGTCCTGCCTCTCGGGGCAGCTTCCTGGCCCCGGGCCCGTCGAGGCAGGGGCCGTGGACGACGACGGGGAAGGGGCCCTGCTGCCAAAAGGGTCCCGAGCTTCGGCGTGTCCTGTCCTGCCTCTCGGGGCAGCTTCCTGGCCCCGGGCCCGTCGAGGCAGGGGCCGTGGACGACGACGGGGAGCCGCGCTGCGAAGGGGCCCCGAGCTTCGGCGTGTCCTGTCCTGCCTCTCGGGGCAGCTTCCTGGCCCCGGGCCCGTCGAGGCAGGGGCCGTGGACGACGACGGGGAAGGGGCCCTGCTGCCAAAAGGGTCCCGAGCTTCGGCGTGTCCTGTCCTGCCTCTCGGGGCAGCTTCCTGGCCCCGGGCCCGTCGAGGCAGGG